TTTAGAGTTAAAGGGGTGTGTAGATTGTTAGTATTATAATTGTTTTAATTGGATTAATGATTGTAGAAGAATTATGGAAATATGAACTTGATCCTGTATTCAGCTCCGGGAAGCCGAGGAGGGTATGGGGGGAAAGCTAAAGTTAATGTATTGTGTATATTGGAAGATGTATATTTTACAAAAAATAAAAAATTTTACATGAAAAGAGAGTGGACAGTCTATTAGGAGGAACTCTTTAGAATAATAAGAAATCCATTGGAGTTTGTGTATAGACTGGGGTCCAATTAGATTTCTGACTGCAAAACAAACCCCTAATGGGCAGGGGTCAATTTTTCATTAACACAAATTTATTCCCCATGAAAGTAGGAGAAAATTTTAAGCTACTTTACCAATCTTGAGGGTCTTGTTGATTGTAAGTTGTATTTTTCAACAATATTGCAAAGTTGTTGAAATCAACACAGTGCACCAGCAAGGCAGGCTCAAACTACTATACAGCAAAAGACATTGTGATATTTCTTATACAAAATCTGAGCAGTTGATTTTTTTCCACTTCAACCCTGGCCAATAACACAGATCTGAGGAAAAAGCTATCTTTGGTAGATTATTGTAAATTGCATGGCACGCACAGAGCTTCCTCCATTTTCTCGTTTCTGTGCCCAAATCCACCCTATTGTTAGTTTAAGCAAATGCAGGCTGATACACACATCTAACACAAGATGTCTTGTCTCTTCCCGATTGATTGTTCTATCCAACATAAAACATTGAGAGAACATAAATAGCTGAGCCAATCATTTGGACCACGTTAATGCCATGTAAGGATCCTTGTCACAAGGACTCTGAAAACAGAATGGCTCAAGAGAAGTCTATAGAATACTGATCCCAATCTCCTTTCAGTATCTGCTAAGTTATGCAGATTGTTCACGCTACTTCAGTGTTTCTCAAACTTGGCAACTTTAAAGTCAGTGGAGTTTGAGAAACATTGCTCTACCTAATAGGCTTCAGTTCTGGGAGTTAAAGTCCACACATCTTAAAGTTGCCAAGTTTGAGAAACACTGATCCACCTAATGCTAGGGCTGAACCTCCAAAGACAACACAACCTACATCTTAATCTGTGTAAAATGTGTAAAAATGCACATTTTTAGCTAGGTGCAGAATATATATATATAAATGTTAATAAGTTATTTGTCTCTCTCAAACTCTGGAATATAACCCAAGTTCTTTTTCAGAGATCCAGCTGGGTGAACACTGATGAAACCTTCAAAACAAAGAAATCTGTTCAGCTGTCCTGAGAGGGAAAAATGGGAGGAGGGAAAATAAGAACACCAAAGTATTGTGAAAGACTGTGGCTTTTTGTCTGGGTTAATGAATTGAAGGAATGAAGACATGAAAAAAAAAAAAAAAGCTGTTGTAGAATTTTTTTTTCTCAAACAAATCACATTCCAGATGGACATTGGTTTGATTCTGTAGCTATCTTTAATTCCTTTCCTCCATTTTTTGTTCAAATTGCTTAAGGTAAGGATTACTTTTTCATGACTGCATTAAAACAATAATCCAGTTACACAGAATAGTAATTAGATTTCAAGCATTATGCAATTTAACTCATTGAAAGCTATTATAAATTCAGTTCAACTCAATCTGCATATATGCCTTGCCTGGATTTATCTTGTTGAAGTGGATCCTGCTTCTGAGTAAAGCTGTGTCAGGTTAAATTATGTTAAAAGAAAGCTATTTAGTGAAGTTTCTTAGAACATTGTGTGTGTTTTTTTATTGGCATGGTCTAAAGATTATGGATAAATTGCTTTTTGCATTGTTGGATGCTAATATGGACCTCTGCTTGGACACCTGAAAATGCTACTAAGTGCAGTGGAGTAGATATGGATACTATACAGAGATCTGATTGTTTCATGTTTTTTTGTCCATCTATTCTATTGTATTTAGCTAAGGAAAAAGAGATATACTCAAATACTCTTGGTCAAATAATTCTAAGTCAAAACCCTGCATGGCTTTAACCTATATTGATCTGTTTAGGAAATAAATAGATGCATAGAACATGACCCCATAAGCAAGGAAAGGAGGGGCATTGTAATATTTAACTTGTGCCTCCCACTACAGCTTGCTTGATATTACGATTTCTTGGTGGATTTTTTTTATTTGTATTTCAAACAAGCCTTACCATGCAGATGGAGTACATGCGAAAAAGAAGCGTGTGTCAACAGACTGCGGCGCTCTTGTGGAAAAATATAATTCTGAAATGGAGGATGAGAATGCAGAGTTTTCAGGCAAGTGCCAAGCAGCGACCTTCAGTGAAAACAACCCTCCTTCCCCACCTCTACTCTCCACTGAGCTTTCTTTTCTCCTGGTTTCCTTTCTCTGTTTCTAAAGGATGAAAGTTGTGAATCTAATGCCAAAAATTGGACTAATTGGATTTGTGTTGTGTTTATTGTACAACGTGATGAATATAACTGGTTTTGGAAAGAGGGGAAGGTACTCATGTGTGGGGACTAGCTTCTGTTTTTTGGTTTTATATCAGCAACAGACTCTGCTAATGGTCTTTGACGTCTCAAGAACTTTTCATGCAAGATAAGGGTACAGAATAAGATGGAATGGGTTCAGCTTCAGCTTAGTGATGGACAACAATATTTGACTGTACACTGACATAGCAGGAATGATCTCACGCTTGGAGGACCTCCAGGGTACAAAGACAGAAGAAGAGAAAATCAGTTTGTAAACGTGAAGGCCAAAAAGTCCAATAAATAAGTTTAAGAAAGGAAAGCTAAAGGATCTTTAACTCTTTGCTAAAGGAATTTTAGCAACTTTCTTGAGCTGCTAACATTTCTTGTTATAACCAAAAAGAGAGCACGCGCCACCCATGTAAAAGCTTTCCTTTCTGTGCAATGTAGGGAGGATAGAGTAATCTTTTCGGTCTCAAAATTAATATTGTAACGCTTTAGGAATAAGGGTGGTTCTAAAAGCATTTTTTTTTTAAAGTTTCCTCCCATCTGCCATACACCAGTATGCTGAATTCAGGATCCTTTTGGGGTTAAGAATGAATGTGTGGATATGAAAAGGGAGCAGAGCTTCCTCACTAGCATTACAATTTCTCCCTGTGCATACTTTATATGTGCTTCTGTAGGGTGTGATGTGAATAAACACATACATGTACCTGAAAGCATGATGTGAGAGTACGCATGTATGCAGCATTGCAAGGTCCAGCCTCCTAGATTCTCTTTTGCTGTATTTTCATTTGTGTAGATCCCAATGATATGCCTATGATTCAAAATAGAATTGCCTTGCTGTGATCATTACAAAATACTGTAATGGGTGTTAATAAATTGGACTTATTTCACATTTCCAGGAATTGTTTTCTTCCCTGGTTGTCTTCAGTATAATACTGTTAGCAACATTTGGATTATTAATTGATGATACTGGCGAAATACCTCATGCTCTTCTTGGGAAACCTTCATTTAATATTACTGAAGTTAAAATTTTGTATGCTCCAAATACTAAGATGTCAAGAGAAATAATGAAGAAAATAGAAATACTTTCTCCTCTAAAAGGTATGACGTATCTGTTAAAATGTTTTCAAAGACTTTAATAGAGGCTAATTTCAACTGGGCTCATTTTGATTGAGTTTGGTAACTATAGAAAAATGATTGTAGGTATCCTCCAATGCTGTTCATATGTCATGTACGTCAGTTTAGAGAAAGTGAGCAAGAGAGCCAGATAGATCTAATGGCTTAGGCACTAGGTTAAAAACCAGGAGACTCTGAGTTCTAGTCCTGCTTTAGGCATGAAAGTGTCGGGTGATTTTGGGCTAGTCACTCTTCTCTCAATCCAACACACCTCACAGGGTTATTGTTGTGAGGAAAACAGGAGGAGGAAGGAGTATTAGATATGTTTGCTGCCTTGAGTAATTTATAAAAATAATAAAGATGGGATAAAAATAAATAAATACCACTGGTATATGAATTATGACTGGGTTCATATATCATGCTACCTATGGTTTGTCTGTTATGTTCTTTATACGAAGGCAATTCGAAAATAAACCTCCTTTTGAGCATGTGCGAGAAATAGGTGGGGATAGTGACACCGGTCCTATGGCGCTGTGCGCAGTAGTTCAGTAGGCAGTGAGGAGTGGAAGGAGAAGGTTGTGTTGCAGTTGACTTGTCTGCTAGATCAATTGAAAATGAAACAGTTTTTTAAATGAAAAACTGTCTTGCGTTGCACTGCTTCGACAATGACAATGCGCTTCACAATGCTGTTACAGGGTGGTTTCATTCCCAGGCAGGAGATTTTTTTGCAGAAAGAATTTTAAACCTTATAAGATGTTATGACAAGTGCTTCAATTTGAATGGTGATTATGTCAAAAAGTAATGTAATGTTGTATTTTTCTAACGTGTACAATACAAGTTCTGTATCTGCGCATATCTATTATTGATAACCAAATGGAGGCTTACTTCCGAATTGCCCTCGTATATTGTGGTCAACTAATTTCATGTAACCTGATAATAAAACCTGTTTTTAGATGGCTATAGCCCTGTTTTTCCTATATGAGAAGCAAAAATTAAACAATTGGGGGGTTGGTGGTTTTTTTTTTTTTGTAGATTAGTATGATGGGTGAACGTAGCCAATATGTTATGCAAGGAGATGTGTTTGAGATCAAGACATCTATCGAATAGATGAATGAAAAGACATTTCTGCTTTCCTATCTGTACCTCACCTCCTTTTATTTAACTTAGGTGCTAACAGAATTCAGGCTAGAAGATTAAATATCAGTCTAATTTTTTTAATCCATTATTCTTTTGGCCAAATTTTTGATAATGACCCTTGAAATGGTTAACTGATACAGCTAATGAAACATCAGCAGGCAAAGACATTTCTCTTTCCCTGTCCTGTGTAGGATTCCACTTACTGACATGATTTCTATACTAAAGGTGTTGAGACAAAAGTGATGGAAGATGAGAAGACTATGAAAGATGAGATGGCCATTGCATCAGAGCAGGACCCGGACTTAGATATTATTGGAGTTATATTTCAAGATGAAATTTCCTATCGACTCAGATTTCCTATCCACAAAACAGTTAACCCACACAAAGATCTTGCTGTTATAGGTAAGATGGCTATGTGTTTCATTCTAGATATTTATACGTCTATAGAAGTGTTTTTCATCCTTGGCAACTTTATGATGTGAGGACTTCACATCATAATTCACATCCCAGAATTCCACTCAGCATAGGTGGCTGGAGAGTTGAAGTCCACACATCTTAAAGTTGCCAAAGTTGCCAAGATTAACAAACACAGGTTTACATGAAAGTCAGATGCAGGTGTAGCATCATATGTTCGTATATTATATATTTGCATATATACATATAGTGTAAACATGCTTTACAACATTTCGTTTTTAGAATGACACTACAATTTTCATTTACAGAGATACACGTATGTGCAGATTTTAACTGGCACTATTTTCATGCTTATTTACTGGGGATGTAATAATGCAATTTGTGTCATGAATTTAGGATATAAGCCCTCAGAAGACCAGCATGGGACTGAACAAAATCCCTATGTTTTAGGGTTAAGGTTAGGATTGATCATCCAATGGAATAAAGAGGAAGTGGTATAAAAAGAGAGATAAATCAAGACAAATAGTAGCTACTTGAAACACAATAAGGAGAATTATATTATGAAAGTACAAGAGATATGTTTGGAGTTATGCTAAGTGAGAGTTTTTTAATACTCTTTCAGAGTATTTAGTGGAATGACACTGTGAAGAAACCTGTGAATTAAAAAAAATACATACAAGAATAGAATAGAGCTGGAAGGGACCTTGGAGGTCTTCTAGTCCAGCCCCCTGCTCAAGCAGGAGGACCTGTAGGCTTACTTAGATTTACAGCCTCCTTTGCAGGAAAGCAAACAACAAATTTTCTCAAAAACAAAGTGGTAAGAGAATACTATAAAATGACAATGAGGGAAAGATACTGTGTAATCTGTAAAGAGAAGAAACAAACATTGCAAAGAATATATAGACAAAGAAAACAGAAAATAGCTATGATCATAATAGGCAGAGAAAGTGGAGAATAATTTGACAAAATAAGAAAAAAAGTATTTTGGAAGTTAAGAGGACAAAATGAAGAGTCTCCAATCGAATGATTAGACTTAGACTGTCGGGAATGCTTGCTATGGTGTTAGAAGCATATTAGATGGCGATGCAAATGTATAAAGGGGATGCTACGTTATTGAGACTGAGAACTTGAATTATTTGTACTGAATGTTAGACAGATTGCATAATAGCAATAAAAAGCATGGATCTGAAATTAATATATTAAACCTCAACATAGTTATGGTTCACAGGGAAAACAAAATGAAATTGTCAAGTTGTAAATAAATGGCAAAAAAAATAGAGCAAGTAAATGAATTTGTGTACTTTAGGAAAATGTTTACTAAAAATGGAAAAACAAATGGAGAGGATCTGTTAATAAAGCTCTACTCTGCTTCGATGACGGGGTGTGGAGCCCCGAGAGGTGGTATGCAGCCAAAAAAAGAGACCTAAAGAAGTTGAAATTGAGGGCATTTTTAAAGGGGTGTTTTAACAAATTTTTAAGGGGTTCGGGGTTTTTAGGGGATTCGGGGTTGGCCCGGGGGGACTTGGGGGAGCCCTCTCTGAGGCCAGGGCCAGTCCAGTCTGGGGGGCGCAGAGTGGTGAGGGAGGAGACTGGGGGATTAATAGAGGGTGGGGTGATTAGTACGGTCAGTGGGAGGGGCAGATATGGCGGGAGCAGAGGACCATATCGGGTTTTGGGAGCACGCACACGCTGTTTACAAGCTTGTGGATGCTCCGATCCTCAGGGCTCTACTCGACCCCCTGGGACCTCAGATCCTCGGGCCCGGGACCATCGGCTGATGTTGTGCAACGCCAGG